CCCCCCCCCCCACTCTCCCAGACAAGCCATGGCTCCATCCTGCACCCGCCCTGCAGGGCAGTGCTTGCCCCAGCCCCACGCTTCCCTCACTGCGGGGGCCTTGATCTCCCCCACACCCCTTTCCTTCTCCTTCCTCTTTCACCATGACAGACTTAACAGCTATATGTGGTTCTCCAAGCTGCCTGGCAGTGCACCTCACTGCCTATGTGCTGTGCTGCAGCTGCACTCATGCACAAGCCATTTATTGGCCGTATCAGGCCGATTTCCGATACAGATAATTTTCTTTATATCAGTGCCAATCTGATATTGGATCAATGTATCAGTTTACCTCTGGAGTTAATGCATATTGTTTGTAACTATCTTCATATCCCTGAATGAAATTTATTCTGTGAAATCCTTGTGAAGTAGCACCTTTGTTAACAGTTTTCTAATTGATTTCCCCCATGCAAATTTGCCCTTATATTGAAGCCTTTTTCTAGCAAGCTTATCTCACTTTGATTTTTTTTTTTAATTTACCAAAACAAAGCAGCTGTGGTCTTAGAATGGTCTTCTGTCAGTTGGTAGATGCTGACTGAATCCTTCATTGTATTTACTCCTTATGCCTCTCCTCAAGTTTTCCTTCCTGTTGAGGAGGTGATGGATTCTTCCAGTGGCTTCTTATTTTTCCTTGATAGTAATATAATCTTGCTTTCATTATATATAAAGAAAAGTCCTGTGCTGATTAATTGCAAAGTTAATATTGTGCCTATCTTACAGAACCCAGTGAAGCTTTTCCAGATGGCTCTAGTTGTGATACTTTCAACAAAGCAAGTTCAGGAAATGTAGAAGAGTTCCGTAAAGACTTTATTTCTAGAATATGGCTAACCTACAGAGAAGAATTTCCTCAGATACAGGGATCTGCATTGACAACAGACTGTGGTTGGGGCTGTACACTGAGAACTGGCCAGATGCTGCTGGCTCAAGGGCTTATGCTTCATTTTCTAGGGAGAGGTAAGTATGCCAGTTAGATACCACTTTTGTACGTAGCAACAGGTAGCCTCAAGCAGCCAAACGTAGGTGTGTTTTGCTTTGCAAGTGGTAAAGGAACATGCACTAACCTGCCCTCATTGCTCTTATTCTTAGCAGGACAGTTTTGCAATATAAACCAAGAGCCTGTCTATGCTGCAGAGTTATTTCTGCTACAGGTATGATAACATATATAGCGCCCTAGTGGAGATGTAACCTGTTCTGGCGGCAGAAATTGTGTGCAATGATTTTTCTGGAGAGGGAGATGCATTTTTTTTTTCACACAACACTGGGCACATCTACACAAGAGGCTTAATATGCAGAAGACTAATTGTACTGCTCATTAGTGTAGCGGGCAAAACCTGTGCTAATGTACAGTAGAATAAGTCTACTGCGCATTAACATCACCAGAAACCTGTTAAACTAATGCTCTAGCGCTGATTATGGTGCATTAAGTTAGTACCTGTCATTACAGTACTAAACTTAATGCGCTGTAATTATGGCACATTAATGAATGTGTAGATGCGCCCAGAGAAAGAGAATTCTGTATTAAGAGGTAATTGTGTGCCAAATTCAGAAGAATCATGGAAACCTGGGCATTTATGATGCTGCCTGCTACTTGCAATAGTTAAAAGTTTCGGTTTTGGCTAGTAAAGTACCGTGGCCACCTCTTTTTCCTTTGTCAAATACTTCAGTTGGTTTTAACATGAAGTACCTGAATTGTTTAGTTTCTTGCCCTGTACGTTCTTCACAGGTGTGCTTTTTGTTACCATTCTGGGGTTACCTGATTTTCCCCCGCAAATAATTTTTTTTCAAAAATACAGCTTGTTGAGCAAAGATGCCTCTGCTTGTAAGCCTCCCCAGTCGGATTTGATGTTAGTTATAGTATCTCAATCCCTTGTTATTGCCCTAATTCAAGGAGTTGTTTGGAACTGTCAGGAGATTGTAGTTTAATATGAACTGCAAAATTTTGACAGCACGTTTAGGTTGGAAAATCCTACTCCCAACCATATACATGCAACTATGCTAACAGATGAAGGCACTTACTGTTTTTGGTGAGTGGCTATAGTGACAGGAAAAAGCCTTATGCCACCTTAAACCATGTTTCCACTAAGGGGGTTTGTTTTGATAACTGGCAGCTGCATAGTGCAGACGAGCCTGCAGAGTACACTGGTAAGGAAAGTGTTTATTATTATTTTGACCTGCTAACCATCATCTGTGTGTAAGTGGTTTATAAGATGAACTGTTAAGGAAGCATAGGACTCAAAAAGTGGACTGGAAGTGTTTTGCTGTAATGTTGATCCATAAAACAAGTCTGTCCTCTAATCTAGATAGATCTAAGATTTCATAGTTATTTGTGAGATCAGTTGAGCTCTTCTGCTGACCTTTTTGACTAAAGTGTATTTCAGTTGCTTTTGTTAGGAAGGATGTGTCACTATTCACATAATCCTTCCACTAACTTTTCTAAGACCTGATGAACAAGAAGGAAGTGCTAGTTTGATTTGGATAATTATCAGTCAGTTTCTTCTGCATGTATTTAATAGTTAACTCACTGAATTTATAGTATGTAAATGGCCAAGACTGTGAAGTTTATTATACCTTCTCTTGTAAAAAATCCTGCTAATACAAATGGCTAACAAAAAATTGACTTTTTTTTATTTATGCTGAGGAATAGGCACAAGTTAAAGACAGCAAACTCAATTACAGTAGAAAAATATGTTCTTTGCTTTGATCTTATCAGTGGCATTTGGAGCTGCATATGTAAAGCACAGATTATTGCTTTTAGTAAAAATTAACATTTTTATACAAAAAACTTAATATTGAGAGGCAGCATAAAATTCAACTAAAAAAAAATTCTGCTGCAGCCTGGACTTGGCCAGATGCATTGGACATAGAAAATATAGACTCTGAATCATGGACAAGCCACACAGTAAAAAAGCTGACTGCATCATTCGAGGCATCACTTACAGGAGAGAAGGAACCCAAGGTCCTGTCAACTCATCATGAGGGAATGCTAAAGAGAAACTGTGATGAAAATGAAATGAGAGATGAAGTTTATCATAGAAAAATAATTTCTTGGTTTGGAGATTCTCTATCAGCATCTTTTGGCTTGCATCAGCTGATAGAATATGGAAAGAAGTCAGGAAAAATAGCTGGAGACTGGTATGGGCCTGCTGTTGTAGCACACATTTTAAGGTAAGAGTATCTCTTTAAATTATTCTTTATTGTTTGCAATGTCTTAAGTGTTACAAGAGAAACATTTAGAAATGCCTGGAGATTTCTTCGTATTAATTGGACACCTAACCATTAATTATTGACTCAGTGACATGTCTGTCACCAACAATTTAGGAGCATTTTTCAGAGATAGGAAGGGAAATAGCAGTCGTTTCAGGAACTGAAGTATGAGCCTGTGCCCAAACCTTGTTTCAGAAATAAATGACTTTCCTATTTTCCTCTACTCTGGGCAGCAGGAGTCCCAAGGTCTCCTCGAAACCTGGGCTTTAAGTAGGCCTGCCTTTAATGAAATGTTCTAAAAACTAACCACTCTTTCAACCTTGGAACATGCATAACATTATAGATTTTTTTTATACTGTAACCTGGGGGCTGTAATGTACTGATAGTGTAATGAAATGTCAGAGCTAAAATTGATGTTTTCAGCATTTCTTTGCACACATCAAATTCTTGTGAAACTGTAAATGTATGGGACTATTAATATTATAATTATATCATAGTAAAAGTAAAGGGTCTGTGACATTCAGTATGGGTAAAAAAAAAAAGTCGAAAGTCAGGTTTCTCTGTACCGTATGCCTTTAAATGCCATTTTTTTGAATGCTACTGATTTTGTTTTTTATAGTCTTATGTTCTAGGTGGGTCCCAGTTTAGCTATAAACTGAATAATTAATAAGTCACCTAAGCAGCCAAAGTCAGAGTTCAGGTATAAATGTTCTACATTTATATAGATGCTAGAATAATTTGATACTTTGATATACAAGTATACTCATCTTTAATGAGCCTACATTGAAATACTACTAGGTGTATTCTGACAGGCGAAGGTTATTTATGCATTTGTTTGTCATACATTCCTCACGTGCTAGATAACTGACATTGTGAGGAATATTTTTTGTGAAATTAAAAAAAATACATTCTATTTTGCAAAAATATAATTGGCTTCAGGACTCACATGCTCCATTCAGGCTTCCCTTTCCACCGAGTCCAAATGAGATTTATGCAAGGTAAAGCTTTCCTTTTCTAGAGCTCCCTATCCCTGTTATTTCAGTACTGAGAATGTATAGTTCTCCTATAACTTGAGAATGACTATATTAAATGATTCCTCAAAATATATTGTGAAATAAAAGGATAGTGACCATTTAATGCAACCACGTATCAGAAGTCAGAGGCTAACCTTCTATTTTGAATGGTTTAATTTCTTTACAGATTTTGTCTTTGATTGGTGATCATGCTTTAGACTATTGACATATATTCTCTTTTTAGTTTTTAGGTCCATTACTCTTATTATTTTGAGGCTAGTTTAGTCATATAATTATCTTTAAAAAAAATTTTCAGTGAAACCTTGAAGCTGATCAAATGGTGAGTTTTGTTTTAACAGTTAGCTGAACCTAATTTTGGGTTCGTTTTGTGAGCTTAATTCAGTTTGTTTTGAGTGATTTTCTTTGAAGCCTAGTTTTGCCATAGTTGAAAGGCTGAACAATTATTAAACCTTAAAGAAGTTAGTTAATGCAGCAGTGTTCACTTTGGTTTATTTAATTTGCATTTATAGCATTCTTATTGTCGTTTTCATGGTTTCCTCTGGACAGCCTCCACTTTCCTCACTACTTAGGGAGGCACTTATTGCACACCATGCAAGGGACTGGGACAAAATAGGCATGGGAAACACTGAAATAAAGCTAGTAAGAGAATGAGGGAAGAAAAAGGGATGATAGAAAACTGATTTTTTTTAATGTTTTGCTTTTAAACCAAAATAGTATTCACTCTAAAAATGACAGGCTTGAATTCAATTTATGCATCATATCTCCACAATCAATACTGTATCAAATATTCTTCTTTTTGTACTTAGAAAAGCTGTTGAAGAAGCAGGAGACCCTGAGTTAAAAGGAATAACTGTCTATGTTGCTCAGGACTGTACAGGTAAGTGATGTGGCTATGGTGACTTATGGCACTTTTTAAATGCTTCACTTAGCTTTTCAATTAGCATTCATCCACAGCAACATTAAGCGATTTCTAAAAGGAAACATAGACATTAGAAAAACCTTTTTATATTGTATGTTTGGGAATTGGATAGTGAAGGGTAATTTTTGCTTATGTACCAGCATTTTTGATAGGTTATAGCGATGATTTTTTTTCTTTACAGATCAAAAATAGTAACTACAGAGATTGATAAATTGCTTGTTTCATGGCTGATTTAAATAATAGAACTTGAAAGAGAGTTTGTAAATTCCTTTTATCTTGTAATCAGCTTGATGTGTGTTTCACTTCCATAACTTTTTTGGGTCTAGGGAGTTAGCTAATTTTTCTGTGGGACATACTGATTCAAATAGATTAATAAACTGTTTTGCACCCCTCCTTCTCTCTCTTTTTGAGGGAGACTGATAAGAATATTATTGTTTTTTCTAAACGTAAAGTTACATTCTCTTTCTCTAAAAAATTCCCTTAGAGATCAAAGATGTGGGTAGTACAGTGAACCAAATACCATGGCCACCTTTCTTCTGTTCCAGCATGGTATATAGGAATTTTCCAGAACACAAGTGGTTTTGAAAACATGTTATCACAGGCAGAGTTGGTATTAAAATTTGGGTCAAAGCAGGAGCAGAGGTGATGAGACAAACCAAGCACAGCAAAACTCAGGAATGACAACTTTGACAACTTCAGCTTTCAGATAAAGCAGAACGTGTTATGTCTCCAGTAGTGCTTTTGTTATGATATAAGCAATCGCATGACATCACGGAAATGAGTGACATTCCTGTGTCATAGTAATAGCGATACTCCATTTAATTGTATGTTGCAAACCAATTTCTTTGTTTATGCTAGGGTTCATACCTTGAAGTTTTAAACTTGAGAATTTCAAAATTCTGATTTCTGTTGCACATGTGTTTTTTGTCTATTATCTTGCACATTCTTAGGTTGAATTGCATACAGTGATGGTGTTAATTGCATTTTTGTTTAATTAAGAGTCTAATACAGTACTGTTTTGGTGTCTGACAATGAACATGAGTGCTTATTTAAAACAATTATTGTCTTTGATATTGTTTTAAAGATATGTAACTGTTTTTATTAGTAATAGGCTTTAAAAGCCTGATTGTAAAATTGCCTAATTGTGGGATTAAGTCTCAAATTGTCCCCTTAAAAAGTTTAGAAGAAACGATCATCTGCTTTCATAACTTTCTTATATCTTCATACCAGTTTATTCAAACTACTACAACTCAACAGTGTAACAGATCATTCTAGAAAATGCCCCTTAAGGGGTAAGACGCACGTAACTGTAGCTCTTAAAAGAGTTTTTCAGGAAGTCTGTTTTATGTGAAAAGAGTGTAAATTTTAAAGCTGTACAGTTTTGCTTCATCCTAATTAAATAATGTAATATAGGTGTGCTGTATTTTGTAAAAGATAGTATATTTCTGCTTTAAAAATTGCATAGGTATTTCATGAAACCTCAAGCATTTTCATACTTTTCATATGTCTTATTTTCAGTTTACAATTCAGATGTTGTTGATAAGCAGTGCTCTTTTATTGGCTCTGGTACTGGAGATACAAAAGCTGTAATTATATTAGTTCCTGTACGACTTGGTGGAGAGAGAACAAACATGGACTACTTAGAGTTTGTAAAGGTATGAAATGAGAGTTCAATCATTTTTTTTTTAAACAGTAGTGCTAGATGATTTGAAAAGATACTCCGGGATGGTAATCTTCTGCCTTTTAACTGTATGGTGGTGATTTTACAGTTGCAGGTTGTAAAGTCTGACTTTACAGGTTTTAAATTTCACTATTACGGGATCAGACATAATTGCAGAGCACATGATGTCCCATGATAAAGTGGTGGTAACTATTCTATTCCTAAAGTGGCTACCGGAAAAGACACTGATGCAGTTACTCAAAAAGCTATCTAGTTGCCTGCAGTATTCCATCTGTGCTATCTTAAATGAACTTTAATACCAACTTGCATTTTTAAAATGTAGAAATCAAACACCTTAATTTGTTTTCAGTTTTTTTAATCTTTCAGTGGTAAATTATTGAAGATTGCCAATTGCCGTGACAGCTCTTCTCTCACTTTCCCCCTGCACGTTATAATTTATTAGCAGTAATCATGACATTGGTAGTCATTTCATTAGCTGGAGGATAGGATGCCTGCTTCCAAAGGCAATAATACAGAAGGAGGGAGCCCTGCCTAATCATAGTAACACAGCTCTAACCAGTCAAATTTCAGGACAAATTAAGAAACACTTAGGCTTTTTATAATTGAATGTTTAAAGATTAGTTTCTAAAAATATTGGATTTTGTCATACTGATGAACTCCTTGAGCATACTTGGGTAGTTCTTCCCCTCAACTAGGACAACTTGCTTAACCCTGCTCTTTTGTCTTTACAACCCTATCATTCATCACTCAGCACACTCCCTTGGAGCTCTGCTTTAGAAATTCTTAAGATTGAACAGTTTAAGAAGCTGTTTAGTAGCACTGACAGAATCAGAAAGACTGGCTCTTCTGTTACATCACCTGTTTTTCCTGGCTTTTGCATTTTATTTCTGAGTTTCAAAAAAAATTATGGAGATGTTTTATAGTAAAGGAGAACAGAACAGTGAAACCTTTTATTTAAAGAATGAAAGATAAGTAGCTTTTCCTTGCTGCTTCTGTTCTGTGTGTTTCCAGATGGTTGGGTTTAGAAGAGCTTTTGTTTTGACACAGTACAACAAGTCAGCAACATGCAAACCCGATGCAGATGCAGAACTCTCTTCCAGTAACAGTATTGCTGTGGAAAAGCGTTTGAATCAGTCTGACTTGAGTTCAGAGCAAATCTTTGTAGGATACAAGCATAGGCTGCTATTACAGCTTGCACTTCCTTGCACAGAAGTTTCTGAGCAAGTGAAGTAACTGTCTTTACAAATTTGTGTTGACTATTGTCTTGGAGAGCGTCTGTGAAGGTTTTTCAGCCTAACAATACAAATCCAGGTCACTGGTGCAGACACAGTGTGTAGTGTCAGAAGAACTTCTTTGGCTGATATAAACTTTGTCTACTTGAGTGAAAGTTGCTAGTTTGGCTATGTTGGTTAGCTTTATCATGTAGGCCTGACTTTTTACTAAGGCTTTTCGCCTTGTATATCCAGAATACATGCAGTCTTTTGCAGATATTTATTACTGAGGCTGAAAGAAGGCAGCCTTCAGTTATACACACTGGTCACTATCTCTGTCTCCGTTATTCATGAGAGTGACCCAATTGTGTAAATTTAAAATATTCTGACATCTGCTTTTTTTTAAAGTAAATTTTTTTTACAGATTTGATGTTTGTGGATGACAGTTATAACTTGAATTAATATAATCTCTTTATACAAGAAAGTGTGCCCAAGATAGGCTAACCAAAGTTATGTTTTTCATAAGTCACTCTTGTTTAAATTTTTGCATCGTTGGCATAGGTGGAGTGTATAAGGCCTCAAACTGTCTTTTCCCTCTTTTCTGCAACTTGTAGGCAGGTTTTATTATGCTGAATTATCAGAAATGCCTCTTGGGTTTTTTTGGCCCTCATGAATATAAATATGCATGTGATATTTTTCTTTTACCCATTTAACCACTATGATTCTGAAGTTGACTCGCATGTTATTAACGTCTTAGTTTAGGATTGTGATCGTTTTGAAAGCGCCCGTACTTTGTTGTTGTTTTAAGGTCAGAGGCTTGGTCAGAGCAAATTTTCAGTGGTTAGATGACAGTAGTGTAACGTTCTTGCCGTTAGTGGTTAACCCCCTAGAAAAGATTATGTAATAGGTCACCAACAGATTCTAGTAGCTCCTGTGGTAGTCATTTTGGGTTGAAGAGGAGACCCATTCTTGATGTTACAAAATGGACTCTGCAACCCCATTCATAGCATCTGATGAAGGAAGTTGTTGCCTGTGGAAGCTTATACATTTCAAATGAGTTAGTGTCTAAGGTGCCAACCTGCCCTGCCTTCTGCCATTTCTTAACTTGCCATACAACATGGACCAGAATTGAAGACTCCGACCCAAGCCGGTACTACGCCACACGATCTTCATGATATGAAGTTGTTCCGGCATTAGAATAATTAATGGTACCATATTCTGACCACATTAGAAACCATGTTTAGAGTTATCAAAAGTATTCAGCATTAGTTGAATTTTGCTGCTCTTATAGCAGTGGGATGACATGAAGGGATAGTATGCTGTGTCAGCACTGTGTGCTTGTGAAAAATCCCACTTAAGCTCCATAGGGTATCTGGGCTATGATTAGTTAGTTGAAAACCCTGGGAATTTTTCTGACTTGAATAGAATTAGTGAGGTTTCCCTCCTCCCAGCTTTTCTTAGGGAAAAGTAGTACGTTATGGAGGATACTTTGATAGGATTGATCAGAGCCCCCAGGTTGTGGGCACGGCTACCCAGATGTGCATTCCTCTTATTACTAAGCAATACTTGCATGATTAGCTCCCTGTCTCAAATACCTAAAATATTTTTACTACTGTACATTTTTAAAAGAACCTCTTAATTTTAAATTGCCCCTATTGTAAGTCTAATGTGTTACTGTGAAGGTACAAGCCCTGATTAACTGTAAATTAATATTGCTGCCTTAGCAAACTGTTACAAACTGAAAGGAGCAATGCAGGTAACTCATTTGTCAAGACATCCATGAAAGCTGTCTGAAGTAGCAGTTTTATCCTTTTTCAATTAAAAAGCTTTCTAATAATCTGTTTAAATCTCAAGGAAATTTCTTTTTTATCTAGTTTTCATTTGTTACCTTCATCCCTTATCTAATGCAATATTGAAATGGCTGTCTTCTTAATATATAAAGTATATCTCTGAGCCTAGCTGGCCTCTCCTCAACTGTGGATGTGTACACTGACATCAGTTTTCAGAACGTGGTATGTAAGGGATCAGACTTGGGGATGGATGGGTGGTTATCTTGAAAAGAATTTTTGACCTGCAGGAATTCGTGACTGATATTCTCTGTTCTTGTGCACCTACCATGCGCATCCTTACCTTGTCCACCTAGACTTGTACATCCTTACAGAGGAGGGGCCAGATGTGGTCAGTGGGCTGCAGCTGCTTCAAAGAACAAGTAATCTTTGGTTGTGTCTATATTAGGAGTGTTTTATCAGTGAAGATCAACAGTGATTCATTATACTGGCAAAGTGCTCTTAATGTGGATCCAGCCATTATTGCAAAGCTATGTTTTGTACAGGTTCAACAAACCCTTTACCCTTCCTGAACAAAATAGGCAATACCAGTGAACTCACAGTTTTGCCGGCACAACTGTGTACACACAGCATAGCCAGCACTGCTACATTGGTCAGTGGTCACACCTCTCATACCTTAGGTGAATGTAGCTATGATGGCAGAAGTCTTCAGTGTAGAATAGGCATAACTGGAGAACAGCATGTCCGTACTACCCATATCTCACAAGAACTGAGAGAGAAATAATAATACTGCTGTCTCTTTTCATACAGAGAGGGTTGAGAGGCAAGGGCTGGGCAGCAGCTTGTACCACCTTTCTCTCAAGAATCTGGAGCACTTTTTGGAGGTAAAAGGAGAGGTGTCCTTCCTTCAGGAATGGAAGACTCAAAGGAGGGAAGGGAAACCCAGGAAGAGCTACATGCAACTTCCTCCCAGCATTTGCTTTCAATATAGAAACCATGAAGAAGAATGGAGATATATTGCTGTTTTCTTCCTTTAAAGATGCTGAAAAAAGCAAAAGCAATGCCCAGGGAGTCCAGAGCTGCCTGCCTGTGATCCCGTCCCAAGGTCGTGAAAACAGACCTTATGATGAGAGGCTGAGAGCTATGGGACTCTTCACCCTGGAAAAGTGCAAGCCCAGAGGCAATCTAATGGCCACCTATAAGTTTATAAGCGGTGTTCGCCAGGATCTGGGGGAACGTTTGTTCACCAGAACGCCCCAAGGGATGACGAGGTCGAACGGTTATAAACTCCTCCAAGACCGGTTCAGGCAGGCCATAAGGAAGAACTTCTTTACTGTCTGAGCCCCCAAGGTCTGGAATAGCTTGCCATCGGAGGTGGGTCAAGCACCTACTTTGAACGCCTTCAAGTGAAATTTGGATGTTTACCTTGCTGGGATCCTATGATCCCTGCTGACTTCCTGCCTATGGGGCAGGGGGCTGGACTCTGATCTTCCGGGGTCCCTTCCAGCCCTAATGTCTATGAAATCTATGAAACTTATGCTTTTCCCAGATCCAGCTTTTTGGGGAGTTCCAGGTACTCCTCTTGTCTGCTGTCTAACAAGAAAGAGGGGAGTCTTTCTTGTTTGACTCCTCCAGTTTCCTACACAGGAATGATGCATGAATTTCTGTCCAGCCTTGCTGTTTGCCTCGTTTAGTTTGTGTGAACTGACATAGATTGGTGAATCAGTGGAGGGGGAGATTGTCAGGGACCCTCCTGCCTTGAGCAGGAGGATGGACTAGATGACCTGAGGTCTCTTCAGCCTCAACCTTTTTTATGGTTCTATGAGAGGGAGATCAAGAGGAGGCACGGATGTGCCTTTCTACTCTCCCCATTGCCTTTTAAGGCTACTGCTCTTAGAAGCAATTATAACCTCTTTAGTTGCTGCTGCCTCAGCTGGCCACTCTTCCTGCCATGTCAAAGTCTGTCTGGGTGGACAGAAAAGGATAGGGCTGCCAAACAGAAAATTATGTATGAGCAGTCTACAGTGACTCTAATGTGTATGACACCACAGTTCTTGCTTTCTTGCTCTGACACTGGGAGTGCTGAAGGTACATCCTTTTTGAATGCCTGCTGGAGTCAGGCCCCTAAAGTAACAGTATTTACATAAAAAGCATAATCTTTAAAAGGAACCCTCCCCCCCCCCGTTGGTTCTTATGTTTGGTTTTCAAGCCCTTAAAATTTTCTCCACTATTACAATCTGTTTTCAAAAGTGAAAGACTAAGTTTCTTGTATAGGAGTTGTATGATTCCTGGAGTGAGGTCTTCCAAAAAAAACACTGACTCAATAAAATAAGCCTCACCAAGTTACTTTAATTACTTACGTTCTTCTCTTAAACTTTAAATCTGAATTATTTAATGTTCTGTTGGCAGGGAATTTTAAGCCTTGAATACTGTGTTGGTATTATTGGTGGCAAGCCTAAGCAGTCATATTACTTTGCTGGATTTCAAGGTTAGTGTTTTAATAATATATGTCTTTTTAGTGTTTTTCTTTTAAGAGTTAGAAAGTTAATATTCGACCAGGGGGAAGGAGAGTGATTAAAATAGCAAAATGAGTACCCTATTAATTCATCATATCCACCAAAGTCCAGTCATTTGTCATTTGCCTCATATAGTAATTGGATTCTGTAAAATGTACATTTAATTTCCTTTGTTGCATAAACAAGGCATAATTTATCTGTTTCACCAAACTTGAGAAACCTTTGCTGTTACTGTCTGGCAGTTCTTATTTACATATTTACTTTTTACCAGTTTAAGTGGTGCTAGTTGATGCTCAAATGACAAGCAATATGTTCTTCCTGTCAGGATGAAGTAGCATGATACATTTTTCATATGCAAACTCCAGAATATAATTGTGTGTTTGTAAAAGTAATTTTATCACCAAAAATTAAATGACAGTCTCATCACTTTATAAAAATTCTGCTTATACAAGCATATTTGATTATGCAAAAGTTAATCTGTCCTGCAAAAACCTATGCTTCAGTCAATGAATATCAGTCTGGCAAGCAGTTACTTGCTGGGTTTTTTTTCAGCTGTTCTGCATAGAAATTGGATTGTAAGCAGTGTAATAATAAGGTGTTTTTTGAATTACTTGTCTTCTGTTTTGTCCTTGTAGATGACAGTTTGATTTACATGGATCCTCATTACTGCCAATCTTTTGTAGATGTCAGCATAAAGGATTTCCCTCTTGAGGTAGTATGGATAAAGAGCTGGCACTGTTTTCTTCCCATATGAATCAAACACTAATTATTTAGAGCTGTTCTAGCTAGCTGCATCTTTATGGTTTTACCGTTGCATATTATTTATCAAACAAAAGTGACCAAGGGTTAAATACTTGATGTGTAATTTTAGTTTATTATATAATTATTACTTCATTTATCTTGTCTGTAACTTGTTATATACCAGAAAACCTCCACAAATATGTGATGACCCCACTAAGTAATTTTGCATTAAAGAAAGCAGGCAGTACAAAGAAAAAAGATGTATTTGAATTTATTTTTACTTTTTAAAATTTGAGGCTGGAATGAAGACGGTTCACACAGTAGTTTAACTAGGGTGAGATGACTGGGGCAGCTGTTCTGAGGGGAGGGAAGCAGCTGCCATTGCAGCCTCACAATTGTGCCAGTGGCATGGCAGCAAGGAGAAGTCACTGCTGCCCCAACGCGTCACAGCTGTCCTAGGTACCCAGCTGCCTTGTTACGTCTCTGGGCTCACAGAGAGAGAGCGAGCAAGCATGTGTATGTGTGTGTGTGTATGCGTGCGTGTGTGTGTTTGAACACACCCCTAGTGTTCAGGTGATGTAGGGGGTCTAGCCTTGCTTGGATACAAATGTACCCCTTTGACAAGGATTTTTCAGTACTTTGCCTAGACAGACGAGGAGCTTCCATTTCTTTTTAAGTGTAATTGTTCTTAACTACTTATGGGTCATTCCATTTTGCATCTTACCTTTCGAATTTCTAAAGCTATAATAATGAGGTTTTTTATTCTAATGACTTTTACTAATGCTGTCCACACTGTTCCTTTTAATAGGTTGTTAAATTATTATTTTAAATCAAATTACCTGTGTGGATCAGTAGCTTTCAAGGTCTGAACACACTTTGAAACCAACCTGTAGTTGCTGCTTGGTTTTTTTTAGCTGTGGCATGCTTGGCCCTTCTGGTTATAGTTAATGCACCTTGTCAGGCTCTGTCTAGGTTTTGAACAATCAGACTTGTTTTTATAGTATTGTTTCTCCCTTGTCTTTCCCCCCCTCCTTCCCAAACAACATACATTGAAAAGAAATGTAAAAACAAAGATAAATGTTGAAGAACTCTATTTACAATCAGACTGAAAAATTATAACAGCTTTAGCAGGATGTACTGAGTATTCCCAATTCTCTTATTAAGAGGTATTCAGGAAATAGCTTCAGCCTTTCCTTTTTGTTCCTTTTATGCCCAACCCTTAAATAACCATTTCACTTTCTCTAACTAATACTTCATTGGCCATGAAACCTAACAGGTGCGTGATCCTCTTGACTTATAGGAGCCAACTATGAAGGGATCAGGCCTGTGGATCAGAGGGACTCTATAGAATGCAATTCTGAACACTACAGCAATTTGCCAAGTTAAACACACCAAACCTAAAGCAGGACTTCACCAAACCATGGCATATTTGCAAAGGGATGGGCATTTCCCTTCCTTCGTAATAGTTGGCTCCAGGAAGATTCTGCGGTTGTGGTATCACCAGCGTAGTACATACATGCTGTGATTAAAAGTTTGTAGCGGAGCCTTGAATCAGAGTCTAGGAGGGAAATATTAAGATCACATGTTGTGAATAGAACTCTTCATCTTGCAATTGGAGAATTCAGCACCTGTGCTGAAATTGATGGAATTTGGTTAAATTAAAAACATGAATCAAATGGTTTGTAACAAAGTCTGCAGCTTAATTGTAGCTCTAAAGCTACCACTGCTATATAATAGATTATATGTAGCTTAAATTGAGAGAGTAAAGCAGGAGTTTGTTCAGTTTTCTTGTCTCTTTCTATTGTGAATAAAGTTCAGGTAACATACCAATCTCAGAGTAGGAATTTGTTAAAGTCAGTCATAATTTCTTAATCAAAATACCATTGGAGACTGTTTAGCAAAACAGTTTAGATACTTCCAAGTGCTTATTAACATGAATAAATCAAATTTTAAAACTTGGGACTGGTTTGAAGCAATAACGAACTGATTTTTAATGTTTACCTTAATGAGTACAGCATAGTGCCTGAGTCTCAATTTCATGCTAGAAAATGAGATGTTCTGGATTGAAAAATAAATGTGTCTTTTTTTTAATCAAAAGGGGAGAATGTTCTATACTTAAATATTCCCTATTTTATAAGTACCCTTTTGAGATCTTTCAGATGGAAGTTGGTATAAGTGTCAGGTTCATTATTTATATTATGGTATAATATAAATAATGAATTTGGACACTCCAGCTAAGATCCTGACCCCATCATGCTAATCATTAGATAAGTGCATAGTAGAATACAGTGCCTTCTCTGAAGGTCTTACAATTTAATTACATGACATAGGCAGACATGAGGTATGTAGGGAAATGGAGGCACAGAGACTAAGTGACTTCTTTAAGGCCAAATAGTAGCTCAGTGGCTGAGCTAGGGGAAGAATCCACATCTGCTAGTCCCTGCTCATGCCACTGGTCCACCAGAACATTGTATTAATAAGAATTTTCAAGTAATTATCATAGTAAGCTTTAAATATATTTGATTACACCCAAGCTGCCGGCTGGGCTTGATCACATCATAATGCTTTCCTGTAGACAGGAAAATGTATTGGAACTTAATGCTTAGTGCATTAAATAGTATTACATCTTTGTCTAGAAATGTCAAAAGTAAACAGAAATTGCTTTCTTAGTGTGGAGAGTAGCTTGTTAGATTTCTCTGTAGGGAGTATTTTCAAAATTGACAAATTGTCCAGAATAAGTTGGAAATCAATCCACTCTGTATTGGCTTCCAAAATCCATTTGTTTGGAGCAGTGAAAAAATAAGCCTACCCACTTCTCTTTGTTGTAGAATGACTCACTGCATTAAGAATGCTCTTGGGAATGGCCTGCAAAACTGCTATTAGGATGTTCCAGTACCTACCACTTTTAACATTACTGCAGGAGTACTTTGACTCAGGCTTCCAGTTGTGATTAATCAGGAATGAATATGAAGAATTTATTTATATAAAATGTGAGCAGGATTAATGACTATACAGCAAGTAGGAATTGCAGTCTACTAGAGAGAGAAAATTGGCTGGACTTTGCATAAAATGTGAGACATACGTACCACTATTTGTAAATGCACCAATCAGGACTACAGAATATTCCATTTCAGTAGTGTAAAATTACTGTAAGGACAAACACCTTAAAAATAATATTATGTAGCTCTATATTTGGGAAATTGTGTTCCATGGACTCTTAATGGTCCTGGCTGCCTGGCCTTGTTTTTCAGACAGGTTAGATCTTATACAGGTGTGAGTTATCCATTGTACAGAAAGCACATAGATGTCTTTAATAGAACCTCTTGCATTTGTCTCTTCTTTTTTACTACTCCATTAGTGAGTTTTAACACATTGCATTATAGGTTCCTAAGTGATTGTTCTTATGTCAAAATAACTTTGTATATGTATACATATAGTCCAACTCCAATTCTCAGTGGGATTGTAGAGTAGTAACATATGCTAAGAGGCAAATACTGAGCTGTTTTAACGGGATTATAATGATTATATGGAGAGTCAGGGCACAAGATATTAGTAATAGGAGATAGGGGGTGCATCTACATGAGATGCTACGTTGCTTGTAGCAACATGCTACGGAGATGTAGCATCGGCAGGCAAAAACTGTGATGCTGCAGCTATGTCACCGTAGTGACTCAATCCCTCACTATAGCGTGTCACTACAGGGATGAACTGGCCAAAAATAACCGTGCACCACTGGCATGGCACAGTAACAGTTACTGTGTTGTCATGTAGTACTTCAGATGACTTGTAAAATGTATTGGGATTTTTGTCCCATTCCACATAAACAGAAAACCACAATGATTACCCATGTTTGAGTTCTGTAATGAATGAAGGGGCACGGAGAACCAAATCGGATTACCTTTTAAGTATCCTTTCTAGACTGGGGAGGATGGGGAGGAGAGGAAGCATATGGAAGTTTGCACTCCTGCTATTCATAGCATCAGTTTCCAGGGCTGTCAATGCAACATTTATCATGAAAACAATTTTCACATTTTAAAAAGTCCTGCGTGTAAAATATAGAGTGGGTTTTTATACTTGAAGTATATTGAAATACTCAGGGTTTTTTTACCCATTTCATTTACTAAATGAAAATACATTAGGTTGGTTCATTCCATTATTTCTCTTTTATGGAGGTTGGGGGGGGTAGGGGACAATGGGCGGTAGTAGTAAAGCAGTAATTGTAAGATAGTGCAAAAGCTGTTACAAATTCAATTTGCAAAGGAGCATTCACCTCCTCTACCATGGGAATATTCATAAAATGCTGTTTGGAGCGGCAAACCCTCGACAGATTTCACATCCTCTTTTTGGGCTGGAATAACGTGATGTAATGTGCAAGTTTGGTTAAATGGGACATAAACAGCACTAGGTTATGTGTTTTTTATAAATATGGGAAGGGGTGAAATAACTTAAACGTTTGGGGCAGAAATAAGTTTGAAAGCTTGTGTTGGTTTTGGAGCATAAGTGGCATAGTGAATTATGCATTTAATTCATTAGGAGAAAGGCAAATACACTTAATCTTAAAATGATCTGGTAATTATTTTTATTTTAACAATTGCAGTCATTCCACTGTCCTTCCCCCAAAAAGATGTCATACAAAAAAATGGATCCTAGCTGTACAATAGGATTTTATTGTAGAAATGTGCAAGACTTTGAAAGGGTTTCTGAAGAAATAACTAAGGTAAGTGTTGAAGTAATGAAATTGATTCCTCAGTTGAAACTGTGCATATGTTTGTGTGCGTTACGGAAGGAGAAAATACCGTCTGAGCTATGCTACAGCGGAACCCATTGTTTTTTATGGTTATAGATGAAGCAAAGGATTCAGCAAATCTGTGATTTTTAAATCCAGAAATATGAACATGTCAAATTTGCAGAAAATAAGATTAACTACCTGAATTGTACGTTAAAAGATGACTGTTTCTTCTGTGGCAGATTGTGACTGATACAAAGCAATGTATTAGCTGTTATGTGGATATGATGTCTGATTATTCCACTAGGTGGCACTATTGAAATGAAAATATTTTTGCAGACAACACCTTTTCAAATCTTTAGACTATCTTCTACCTGAAGAGAATTTTTAAAAAAGCAATCAGTCCCTTAGGGAGGGCATTTTTTAAAAGTGGAAATATTTGAGCAAAGCAAAATTATGTATTTATTTTTAAGTGTTTATTTCTGATAACGTTTAAAGAAGAAAACAGTATTTTATGCTTTTGTAGGCAGTTTTAAATGAGAGCAGGTATCACCCAGTAAACCAGCTTAATAATGTCTGTGATACTTGAAGTGCGTAGGTATAGGTTTAATTAGGTAGGTTTGTTTTTGGTAGGCATTTTGTTCTAGACCATTACCGTATATAAATGCCAGTAACAGAATGCAGTGGTAATATATGCTGTGTAAACTATAATACACAACAACCAAATGGCTTACAACCTAAAACTGACTATAAAAAGATAGAGCAGTAACAAAGAATAGATTACAGTAGTAATGCTCTAGTGCTACAGTAGTTATTGCATTAGTACAAGGAATTAAAGTTTGTATAACACTTTGAGACTATAACCTGTTGTGTACGTGGTATTAGTATTAAGTAAGGCAACAAGCAATATCAGATTCTAAAGTTAACGCCACGTATGTTGAGTATTTTGGTTAATGCCGAAGGTTTTTTCCTTCGATTTATGGAGGAATGCAGAAATCCTCCAGTCTTGGAGGAATGGAAAGTACCTTTTAAACATCATGAGTTCCAAAGCAAAAAAGACCTGGAAATTTTATATACCTGTATTTTTAATTAGCCATCCCATTTAAGCAGAAATTGTAGACCATGATAGAAAAATGAAGGAAAAAAGTGATAATAGAAATTTTTCTTGCTAATTTTTTTCAGGTGTTTTCCTTGTTAAATCTTAGGTTAGGTGAATATCTCTCCCCACCCATTTTTTGCTTGTTGCATTAAATTTAATGTCAGACTGACATGAAGTCTTAATACAATTCTACTAGCATTTTGGATTGATGTTCTTTCATATAAGGAGGGTGACACTAACGTAAGCGCATCCCAAATACAGTGTATGAATTTTCAGAAATAAAAAAAGGAAAAGTTTACATATGAATATTCTTTGAAGAGAACACTCTGACTACCCTGACTTTTCAGTCTGCCTTCTATACACTCTTCATTGCTCCTGAGCTCTCTCTAACTACTTTTTCTATTTTTTTCCATCTGTTTAAGGGTAATGTAATGCCTTCCTTATTAGCACCATATACTTCCAAGTAGGGTTAAACTAATAAATTAATTCAGATTCTTGCTACTTTGATATGTAAAATAATGGGAGAGGCAGGAAGGAAAGTTTAGGTTGTAGCACTTGCAGCATCCCCTCTAAGAGGGATGTTGTGGCATTCAAATTAAGAGTCTCAAAAGAAGTGGCAAGTAAAACATCTTACCAATGCTACACTCAAATTGGCTTGTGTTTCTGTAACTGTTATCCCAGGCAGCCGCATTCCTACTTTTAAGCTACTTTGGTTGCTCAAAAGTAGGGAACTGCAAGCAAGTCCATTCTTTGATGCTGGAATTTGGCCTGGAAGCAACTAAAAATTAGGT